AGAGGAAAGGCCCCCTCAGCTCCCCGACCCCAGCCCAAAGCCGCTCCGCATCGCTGGCGCTCCCCGAGCGGGTGAACGTGACCGCTGACTCCCCAGGGGCTCCAAACCCGCGGGGCGTTGAGCACACGGATGCGGTTTTCACCGGGACATGGGATCAGCCTCTGCCCCTGGGAGGGACAGAACCAGAGACCTGCCCCGAGGCCACCGAGAAAGGCACACAAGGGACGTGTCCCCCTCGAACAGCGACGCTGAGCGGCCCCATCCTGTTCATGTATTTTTCAGAGGGTTTGGTAAGGGGGGAATTGAGTGGGGCCGATGCCAGTGATGCCCTGGTTATCTCGGTGTATGGGGCTCTAAATGGATCAGCTGCAGGACTAGGAGTGAGGTATGAAATGCTGCAGGAAAGAAAGGAGCAATGCTGCAGGAAAGGAGAAATACTCCAGAAAAGAAAGTGAAAAGACTCCAGAAAATTATAAACAATCCAGAAAAGGAAGGGCAAATACTCCAGAAATAAAGGGCAAATACTCCAGAAAAGGAGAAATACTCCAGGAAAGAAAGGAAAACAGCAGCTGTTCCCCAGTGTGGAGTCTTTCCTTAGTGAAGCACGAAATGGTCCAGAAGAGACAGCAGAAAAGCAGCCACTCTCATCCCCGGGACCTCGGGGCATGGCTGTGGTGCAGGGCACAATGCAGAAATTTGGCTGGAAAGTGGCAAAATTGGGGGAAAATCACATGAATTTGCTGTGTCAGCTGCGGGAAGGGCAACAACACCCACAGCAGGGCCGCACTTCCAAAATACCCCGGCTGTTCCCTGTGCTCCGCTGGAGGATCCACACACCCCGTGTGGAGCTCAGTGCCCACCCGACGGGGCTGGGGCTGATTTATGGGGTTGCTCTTGGCGTTATCCCCCATTTTGGGAGGTTCGGGGGTGTTCTGGGCTCACCTTGATGTGCAGCTGGGCGCAGGTGAGCAGGCTGAGCGTGGTGGGTCTGCCCGCGGCCGGGCCCGGCGGCACCAGCGCCTTCAGCTTCTCCAGGCTCCGCCGCAGCTGAGCGCGCCTGCGGGGAGAGAACAGCGAGCGGTGAGAAGGACCCAATGGATTCACTGGAACATTGACCACCAGAACCATAGAAACAGAGAATCACAGCATCCCAGCTTGGGAGGGACCACAGGGATCGTCTGGTCCAACCTCTCAAGGTAAAAGTGGAGTTTAAACGAGAGGAGCCAGCGCCCTGTCCAGCTGAGTCTTGAATCTGACCAGTGCAGGGGAATTCACCACTTCCCCTGGGAGATTATTCCAATTTCTAATTAAATTATTATCCCAATTTCTAATTAAATTATTATTCCAATTTCTAATTAAATTATTATTCCAGTTTCTAATTGATGGATTATTCCAATGTCTGATTGATCTCATGGTAAAACATTTTCTTCTGCAGTTCAGTTGGGATCTCCCCAGACACAACTTGTGTCCATCACCCCTCGTCTTCTCCAGGTGCCCCCTTGTTCAAGGCAGTCTCCATCCTCTTGGTGCCACCCTTTATGTGCTGGTCCATGGTGATGAGGTCCCCCCTGAGCCTTCTCTTCCCAAGGCTGAACAGGCCTGGTTTTCTCAGCCTTTCTCAGCTCTTCCAGTCCCCTGAGCATCCTCAAAGCCCCTCTCTGGACCCTTTAACCTCTCTGCATCCTTTCTGGATAGCAGGGACACAGCAAGATTGGACACAGCACTCAATTGCCCCTGTCAGCGTGAACAACCATGCTGAACCAAACCAAACACCTTCCCACCCCACGGCGGGGTCCACACGGGGTGAAAACCGCACCCAGACAAACAAACATCCCCAAAAATCCCAATTCTGGCTTCACCCATCCCCGACAATGAACCCTTTTGGGCCGCCGACTGGCGAGGAGCTGCCGAAGATGGTGATTCTGGGGGCAACTGTAACCACTTTTGGTGTTCCTCCTCCCAAAAACCTCCACTCCAGGGACAGGTCGGTCACTGCTTTGCTCCACCGACAGCCGAATCCATCCAGGCCCACACCATGCGGTTGTCAGCCCTCGGGAGCACTTCCTCCCCCACATTTTGGCAGAAACGGGCCGGTTTTGGGTCCATCGCCGTGGCTCTGGTCAAACCAAACCCTTTGACGTGCGGATAACCGAGATTTTCCCTCACATTCGCCGCTCCAGCCCCAAGATTCGGGTCAGGCTCTCGGGCGCGGGTCGCGCCATCCGCCCAGCAGCAGAATTGGGGTTTTGCAAGCACCGGCCCATCCCGTCTGGGGCAAGGAAACGCGTTTGCCTGCGCCGAGCGTGCTCCGAATTAAAATGTAAACAAAACACCGGGGGTTTGGGCTCTCCAAACACCAAGGAGCCCTTGCAAAGGTTATTTCCCGAGGAGCAGGGGCGGTGCAGGCCTGCGTGACCCATTTACCCGGCAGATTTATGGACAAATATGGTCCTGCCGTGGCGTTATGGCCTCAAAACCGAAATTTTTGGCTATATCTGATAACCTAAACGGCAAAACCCAGCACCAACCCCCTCTGTCCTGTGTGTTTCGGGGTTGCACAACCCCGGGGTTC